AAGAAGAAAATATTTTTAAAGGCCGTTAAATATAAAGGAATTGTTACAGAATAGACCCCAATTGCGGTTATCCACAATAATTAAATAAATGTGTTCCAAATTTCGTCAAAATTTTCCAGCACTATGAAATATAGAACCGGTTCCGAACTTTTCCGCAAACGGCGAAAATGTACTTGTAAGATCCGCACACGAGTAATCTTGGCGCAGCGCATGCGTACGAAAACAATTCAGAGCACACCAAATATCAGCTGTGGCTTTAAATTGATGTTTAGATAGAGAAGGAAAATACAGATGCGCATACTGATACGGCAATAGTACGGGCGATTGAGTCAAACCGAAAAATCAAATACATTTTTTATACAAATTATTTCTCAAAAGTCACAGTTATTTCATTTTAAAAAATGAATGCTTTGTACCTAAATAAATTGAAAGTGATTAAAAATAATTTTTTAGGTAAATTAGGAAATTATATTTTTATTACCAAAACATTAGAGACTATTTACAATACAGGGAGCGGGATGCGACGTGCTCTTGGAAATTGACATTAATTTTTGACTTATACTCTACTTTTTCGAACACGTCGTTTATGTACACCGTTATTTTGACCTGGAGACTCCGGGTTTTACGATCGTTCTCTGGATTTACATCAAATTTACCCGGTAGGAGCGCCTAGTATCTGAAATAAACGCAGCTCTACCTTTTTTGTGGCATTTGGACCAGCATACAGAAGGTGGATTTAGAATAACAACAAAAAAATAGGTGAAGAACAGAAAAATGTTGTTTTTTGTGTATTCTCTAACAAAATATTTTTTTCTCCGGGTCGGCATCAGGGAAATGTTGGCAACCCTACATATATATAGTGCCTTAACCTGTATATACTTATATTTATATATTATATGAATAATGTACAATTTAATTTTAATAATAATAATAATCATTCAGCACTCAGCTGTTTGTAGATTGTTTCTTAAAATCCATGAACTGTAAGTTTGGTTGCATAGTCTTTAGGTGCTTTGTACAAACGCCAGTTTTTTTATGTAGTCATTCAATGAAATTAAAATAAATGAATATTAGAAAGTTATTGCAAGTTTACTTAAGATCAGTCAATATTAGTGCCGCTCTTATTTTAACATCTGAGCATGCACAGATCATTTACGTTCTAGAACTGACTTTATTAAAAGGTTTGTTCTGGTTTTTCAGAAATATGTTGAAAACTGTCCCAGTACTAGCTGATATTCAACTATTCCACTGGATATCGGACGTTTTGCAGTACATTTTGAAGAAACAAGCCTAACGATTGTGCCTGTTCTTTCGGGTGCGCTCGCTGACATTCGTATCAGTTCGAAGTTTTTTAATATTAAACGAGATATTAAATATTTAATACCATTGCCATCTAAACGTTCTAAAATGGTAATTTCTAATGCCTCTTCCATATTATCTAGTATAACAAACAACAAAAAACTTCAGATTTGCAATAAGTCCTATTTTAACATGGAGTTTATTTGCCTCTAATTACGTTATCACTATTTGCAATATCTCTCTAGTATTACTATTTTTTTTTTTTTCTAAAAAAAAATTGGTTTTAACTTTCCACTCAAATCAGAAGTTATTTCAAATAAACTTTTCCGATTTTGTGATTTTAGCAAAATTCTTTATGAATTTTCTATAGTATCCCAGGAGACCGAGAAAAGATTTAATTTCTTTTTGGGTATTTGGAATCGGAAATTTCTTTATTGCTTCGATTTTCTTTATGTTAGGTTTAATTCCCTCTGGCGTTACTCAATGCCCAAGAAACTCGACTTCTTTGCGCAAGAATTCGCATTTATCAAGTTGAATTTTTAACCAAGCTTGTCTCAATTTAAAAAATACTAATTTGAGATTTTGAATGTGTTCTTGTAGGTTTGTGCTGAAAATAATTTTGTCGTCCATATAGACTAAACATACTTTACTTTGGAGGTCCTTTAGTACCTCGTCCATAGCCCTGTGAAATGTGGATGGCGAATTATTAAGCACGAAAGGCATTCGTAAAAATTCATAGTGTCCATTGTCGACACTAAAAGCTGTTTTTTCGACAGAACACTGGCTCATCTCTATCTGATGAAAGCCACTCGCCAAATCAAGGGTACTAAAATATTGTGCCATACCTAGTTTATCAAGAATATCGTTGATATTGGGTATAGGGTATCGAGCGCAGATCATTCAATTTGCGATAATCTACAACCAGTCGATATTTTTGAGGATTAGAAGCATCCATTTTCTTCCCTATAATCCATATAGGAGCACTACAGGGTGAGCACGACGCTCTAATAATTCCCTTATTCAACATTTCGTTTATTTGTCGTTGCAATTCCTCTTTGTGAACATATGGGTACCTATATGACTTTATATGCACAGGAACCTCATCTGTCGTTTTTATAACGTGTATTACCTTAGAAGTAAAAGATAATGGATCGCCTGGAATTAAGAAAATATCTGAAAACTCTCGGCATAGCTTAAGTATGCTTTCTCTTTCCTCAGAATTCTATTCGCAATAAAGTTTTAATATCAAATTTGTTTTGTTTTGATTTTTCTGTTTCCATATTTTCATTAAAAAAGTTAAAATTATGAATTTCATATACGGATGGTACAAAGAGGTGTGCAATAATTGGTTTATTGAATATTGCAGTTATAGTTTTATTATTATTATTTATTATCTCGACTATTGCGTAACCATTATTAGCTACGGTTAATGTTTCTGGGACTAAAAGTTCACCTAAATGTATCTCATTTATTAAAATTTCACCTTCCTTAATATTGACAGGAAGTGATTTTAATCGCCTTTCTGAAGGGCCTACTGAAAATGCTATTTTAATATCTTAAGGTTGTCTAAATTTTATAGGAATAATTAATCTATGATTAATAAAATCAATATTTAAATTCATTTTTATTAAATCTTCTACGCCTATTATTCCATCAAAAAAACTCGTGGAATTCGTATAATATAAAGTTATTATTATAATTATCATAATTAAATTCTCGGAAAGCCGGTATTTCCGCTTGAAACCTAATACGCTTGTTCACAAGTGCTGTTTTAATGTCTACATTTGAATGAAAAATGCAATTTGGATAAAATCTATCCGCCACTGATGATCTGATTATTGGTTTTGCACTACCTGTATCAATCAAAAGTTTTAATTTTGGTTGATTAATTTCAATGTATGGTAGGGGATTAGTTGACGAAATATTTATTTCGACTAGGTCTGATTTGTTCTTGAGGCTCGATGTAGAACATTTTTATTTTCAAAATTATTTGTATCGTACTCTACAGGGTTAGTCAAATTTTCAAATTCATTTTCAGATTCCTTTGTATAATATTGATTTTCGAATTCCCCACCATGATGATTATCATTAGAATAATTATTTGAATATAATTCTTCAGCTACAAAATTCGGTTTTTGACCATAATTTTGAAAGTATCCGTTATTGTTATATCTATTATTGGGCCTATTGCTTGGAACAAAAGATCTCCTAGTATTAAATGAAGGATTTCTAGAGGTCGTAAATATTGGCTCCGGTTCTGGCAATCGATTTTGTGGTATTTGATTAGGTTTGAATACATTACATGGAGGTCCAAATACTTGAGCGTTAGTTGGGTAGTTTCGAGGTGGCTGAGGCTGTGGTTGTATATTAATTGGCTGACTAGGAAAGACCGGTTTTTGATTGTTAGGTTCATAGTAATTTTGATTGAATGTATTTAAACTTATCTACTTTTAATTTAAAAAGATCCCAATTAACAGAGCGTTGAGCTTGTGGAACTAAAGGATATGACATTTTAAAATTATCAAATAAATCTAACACAAAAAATTCTTTACCTTCGGAAACGCTCTTAAATTATTATCGGTTTCAATACTAAGATTATTAAAGTTATTTAAAAATTCTTCTAATTTATTCATAAAGTTATTGTAATATGCTTAGATATATTTTTGATATATGAAAAATCAATAAACTTATATTTTTAACAACTATCTCTCCTGAAACCTTAATCAGAGGGTAAGGAAAGGCAAAAAGGAACTTGGCACTTACAGTATTCGCCTGGAGTACGTTGATCCCTAATTTCACTTTTTTAAGCTTTTGCGTCCTCTATGATCCACTGAAGGGTTGTCCACTGAAGGGGTAGATTCTTTGGATTCGTACTTTGATGTTGAAACACCCAAGTCACGAAAAGTTTTTTTTTTTCGACACGAAAACTGCGAAAATGTTTTTCCACGACCCGCACGAATCGTACTGACTGCGCCAGAAACGATTTGAGGATTCGAAAAAGCGTTTTTAAAAAATTATTTTATTTTTATTAAGAACAATATTTTGGTTACTACTACAACGAAGGTTTAATTAAGAGTGATTTACATTTGTTAACAATAAAAAACAAGCAATTACAAAAGTCTTGATTAAGCGTTAGATATCCAGCAGTAGCTGGCTCGGCACTATTCTCGGAATTGTATCAAGTAACTGACAGATAGACAAGTCATGTAGTGACTAAATTTTTAATTAAAAAAAGAGTTATCGATAATAAATGTTTTTCAAGTAGGCAGACAAAGACAGATATACGAGTTATGTCTATGATAACTAAATACGGCTTAAATTCAAACTGAAGATTGTGTGACATAGGTACGTGAATTCATAAAAACCCCATTATTAATTCAAATAATAAACTCGTGAATATTAACACAGGTATAATATCTACAAATAAGTTAAAAAGAGGTGTATATTGGATTGGATTGGTGAATAAAAAACCAAAGAATTCGTAAAAACTAGCCTTAAAACAAAACAAAAACAATTTATTTTATTTATTTCTTCTTTTTAAATAGGTTTTTTATAAATTATATACTATTGAACTACCCTGTTTAGGGTCTTTAATTTCAAAATTAGTAATAAAAAAGTTCCTCTGGTGTAGACAAGTCGAAATACTGTAAAAGCGCCTTTTGTCCCCTTACTAATGTTTTCATTAGAAAGCACTGATTGCGATTTTCCGAACAATCATGTTTTCTCTAAGCAAATTTCACCTGTGCGCAAAATGACACGCGAATGAAAAGCCATTTTCAAAATCGTCGCGGAATTTTCCAGGATTTTCCCAACACACACGCCGACTTCAGTTGTCGTTTAACATCTAACCTGCCGCGTGAAAAATTCGGGAAAGCGTTTTTCCCTTTGGTGCTGGTTGTGTTTCTCGTGGGTTTTTCCAGTTTTTGTTTGGTGAAATTTTCTTAAGACATACAGCATGACAGTGGGTTTGAGGATAAACAAGACGCTGATGGTGATCGACGTTTTTAAAATAGATTTGTGAACCGTAAAAAGGTGAGAAATGTATTTTCGGCTGTCGTTCTATTCGAGAAGCCATTGACCTACATACAATGGAAATCATGTTTACACGAGGTCTTTTGTAAAGTTTATGAAAAAATATTTCCAAATTCATATACATATGTACGAATAATACTCCGTTACAAATTTTTGTATTACCTATATATTTACTGTATTTAATACATATCAGTAATTGAAAATAACCTAAAAATAAAAAAAATTCGAAGATATTTATAGTCTGAAAAAATGTACTCATTTGTTTTTAGATTTTTTAGTAGATCTACTACTGTTTTCTTCCTTATTGAAGAAAGTGAAAATTTTCCTAGTTTATAAAAAAGGTGCCTCAAAATTTTAGATTACCAGCAACTTGTAGAATATCTCGACAAACATAAAATATTAATGAGACAAATAAGTTTAGTTTTAGGAAAAATCGGTCTACAGCAGATGCTATTAAATCGCTTAGGAGTCTTTGTCAACTTAAGTGCTGCATTTGTTTGTGTTGACCATTGCAAATTAATTCTGAAACTTCAATACTATGGTACATGTTGTGATGGTTCTGTGAAGAATAAGAGGAAATATCAATACATGTCCTGTGCCAGTTTGAAGGCCTGGCTAGATTGTGGTTTCTAACACTAGGTAAAGAAAGGCTAGAAGCATGTAATTACATACGAGAGCCACTGGCAAGGCTACTAAATCTAATAAAAAAAGCCAAGCTAAATAACGTAGATCTGAAGAGATCTTGGTGAACAAGGACAAATAATATCCAACTCCTTTTAAATCTAATCTAATGGTACAAATTGTTTACATAAAAAAATAAGCCAAGTTCATAGCAAATTATTAGAATGGAGATTCCACAAGGATCCGTGTTGGGCCCTCTCCTGTTTATATTTAATTTAAATGATCTTCCAAATACTTTTAGCAACCTTGAAATAAATCAGTTATGTTGGCATAATGATGTCACGTTTGGAATTGTACTTGTTTACAAATAAAAATTTTCAACTAATAGATACTGTTGGTACTGTTTTTAATTTTAACATTTACCGAAATAGCCACAAAACTAAATAAAACGTTTATAGTTGAAAAACAATTTTCATCGATTTCTTTTGACCACTTAAATGGTTTTTTCCCAAAATTCTACAACGTATAGTTTCTGAGATATCCTACAACCAACCATAACAAGCGTCTTTTCTTATTTGGACACCCGGTACTTTTGGAAAACAAAAAATCGATCTGATATTAAAGATTTTCTATAAAAAATTAATTTATATTAAATATTTCCATTTAAGACTGATATGCCTATGGATGTTTACAATGCATCCAGCAAATGTCATTATTTTGGTGTTGGCTTCACAACAAAGACACTTTTATGAATGACTAGTAAAACAGATGTTGTCCATGTTTCCAGAGGACCTATTTTCAAAATATGGGCATGGATTAGTTATATTATGTAGTATATTATAGGAGTACTCGTTTCTCTCAAGATTTTCACGAGAAATGTCATGTGTCAAGAGAATTAAAATTCTTTCAATAATTTTAATAGAGCCCCGCATACCACAATATTTCGTTTTTTGACCGTACCGAGAGTCATTTTAAAAATATATTTTTTTTAATTTTAACAGGTCGCTTGGTAATTGGTATACAAATGGCGTATTTTTCGCATTTTTGAAAAATATGAAATTTTTATTTTTTTAAGTACTATACAAAAAAAAACTTTAAAAAACACATTATGGGTAACCATTTAAAAACGAATAAAAAAAAATCGCATAATTTTTTATCGCGAAATGAGGCAGTGGCGGAGCAAGACCTAAATTTTTTTGTGGGCAAGATACATTTTGTGAGGCCCTCTGGTGTCGCAAGAGGGCGGATTTTATATAGATACAGAAAAAAATAACTGTAAAATTTGTATTCATAAAAATGCAAACATCTTTATTTTAACTAACATTATTAAGTAATAACTGACAGTAAAGGAAACAGAAATTTACTGCTTTTAGCCTAGGGTGACTATATTTCTTTCGTTTGACTCACTGCTAAACGCAGAACAAAAATATAACATTGATGAACTTTGGAGATGTGAGGACTTTTTTTACATCCCCAAAGATAAATACAAAAACTTTGTTAGATCTCCAAAGATAAATACAATAAATACAAAAACAGAGAACTCACGTATTATGTTTTTTGTCTTATTTGTTACGTTTCAGTAAACGTATTACATTGCTGGATAATAATGGCGTTTTGCTGGACAAATACGGCGGTTTGCTGTTCAAGATCAAATGTTGAACTTTGAAAATGCTGTACAATACACCAAAATGTTGTATGGTCACTTTATTTTAGCCTTACTGATCTTACTAACTATATCCTAATTTAATTTAGAAATGCTGCATCTATTTCAATCGATAAAACTACAAAAGGCAATAGTCTGCTGACATATGTAGTTCTTCAATAATTTTTATTAGTTTTAATTTTGAAAAGCTTCTTTCCGCGGTGGCTGTATGTTATTAACACGCGAAAATAGTTCATACCATAAAATGTAATATGATAAATTTCAAGCTGAGCATTTCGTTCAAAACCGAATAATAATCACTAAGTTTATCTGAGTCTTTTGTGATTGAACATTCAATGTATTCAATACAAAAATTAACAGCTATCCGTAAAAAGTATTAATACTAAAATTTTAATGTAATTTACAGAAAATAGCTAGGTATGTATTTGTTTTTAAATAATTTGATAATTTATGAAAAAAAGGGAGTAAAAGTGGAATGACCAGTGGCCAGTAGGTCAGTCAATACAAAGTATCATATATTTCTATTATAACATAAATAAAATACCTACATCTTTTAATCATAAGGACATAAGTTAAAAACCATTTTAATATATACATTAGAATGAAGTAATAATAACTTAAAGAGACGAGGTCTTAAAGTAATAGCTGGTACAGCATGTTTTTTAAACGTTTCCTCATTGCTGCTAGAATGAAATCACTTACTATCAAATGTGCTCTAAAAACGGCATTTCTAGCAGTCAGTGTTCAGTCTTAGGATCTCTTCCTAAAGCCCTCATCCAAGCTGCATACATATTAAAAAATAATTAAAAAAAAACATATTATATACCTATATAGTTTTCGGTTCTGGGTGCCCTAAAAGAGGACACTTAGCCGACAATTTGGCTCAGATAGCTAAAACTCAAAAGTCACACCCCGAACCAGGACGTATTGCTATCCTTTTAAGTAAAAAATAACTTACCTGAAAAATGAAGGCGTCTAACTTTACACCAAAAAAACCATACACTTTTTCCCATTGTTGCAAGCACCCGATGACGATTAGGTAGATATCAACTAGAAGCATGTACTTAATGGTTATAAAGCTTATTTTAACACAAAAAGAATAAAGCACTAGTCGAAAAGCAGCAATCAAATATAAATAGACCACAATATTAAAATTCAAATACTCTAAAAGCGCAAAAGATCAGAACCAAATAAAATGAATAACCATAATAACCTAAAAATCACACTAAAATTGCAAAAACTATTAGTGTAAAATCATGAGATTACATCAATAATGCATATGCGTCGGATTATCGCAAATGTCAAAAGTACAGTGTTTCCATGAAAATTTAGCTATGTTTTTAGCAGTATTATAGGACCATTTCTACCACGCGCATCCAACGATATTGGCGTTCCACAGTTCACTGAATTTTCCTCACACCTCTAGTATAAATGATTTGACATAACGAAACTAACAATAATTATAATTATTGTAGAGTAATAAGTGATTCGTGAATTCTAAATAAAACAATTATTATATAAAAGTGTAAAAGGAAATGTAATTTATTTCCCTATTTTCTTCTGTAATATCTTTAATTATTATGTTTAATTTCTATAAATAAACCAACTGGTTAGGTGAAACATTATATAAGATTTTATTTATGTGTCCTATGCGTACACTTTAATATACAAAACACCTGGAACATTCTTTAAATAATTGTGGTCGTAGAAATAATTTTGTACATAACTCGTTTGAAAGTGTATTTTATGCACTTGCCAAATATATTATCCATACAGATTAATCAGACTATTTTTTTACTTAACTTCAGTACATCTCTTACTACTAAAACTATTTTTATCAATGGAAAAGAAGGGCCGTGTTCTCGTATGTTTTGACGCATTTTCGGCCTCAGCCCATCTGATCCCCCCTCTAAATATATATGAATTTTGCTTAGAATTGCTAATCCTACAATTCTCTATTCGTGCTTGCTGACTGGGAAAATAAATACCGAAAATCGTCACTGTCTCCTGGACTATACAATAGATGATGATGAGAACTTCACAACAAATACACTTTTATGAATGGCTAGTTGGGGATGTGATACGCTCCCACTGATGGCTCTGCTAATTCCTAACAATATATTTTACGCATTTCTCTAAAAAAAGACGATAAATGGTTTGAAGAATAGTTGATTCCATAAAAAAACAACGTTCAAAAGAAACTTTTATATTATATTGCTTATATAATTAATTTAAATTAAATTGCCTCTTTTAACCTAAGCTAACTTAATCCTTTTTGGGACATCGTGTATAAGCGATTAGTGTTGCATACAAAATATCGTAATCAATACTTTCATCATCATAGCTCGTAGTGACGACCAACATAACCTTTTCGATAAGACAAACTTTGTATAACAAACAAAATAACATTCATTTATATCTCTCTATAATAATACGAGTAGTAAGGTCGAATTGTAGTTTTACAACGACTACCGCGAGGCATTTGTTACATTTTATCAGATTTTTAGGTAATACTGATTTGTCCAGACATGCCAATTATGATATACAATGTGTCCCAAATAGTTTTATACAAATGGGAAAAAAGTTAATCTTACGTTATTTCCCAAACAAATAAAATGTTCTGCATCCATAATTAAAAATGAAATTTGTAAATTTAAAACATTTTCAGTACACCCTTTATCATTGGTTTTGGATTATTTATTGAGTAAAGTAAATC